CAGTTACTTACCTCAAACCGCGCAAAATCCTACTCCGCAATGCATTTGCCCCTCGAATCAATCTCCAAACGCCTCGAATCTAGACACAAGCAGTACAATATAATTAATATAGGCTAAAAGAATCAATTCCACAAGAAAAACACGAAAGCATAAGCCAAAATCCGAAATAGGCTCAAACCCGCCCCCAAGGCCCACATCTCGAAATCCAATAAAAATCAAAAAACCCAAAAGCCCATTCACTCACGAGTCTAACAATACTAAATTCATCAAAATCCGACATCATTTGGTCCTCCAAATCCCCAAAATCCACTCTCCAATTCTCAAGCCCTAAACCTCCAAATTTCACTTCAAAATCTCGCTAATTAGGTGAGGAAATCAGTGGGGAATCAAGATTAATGATCAAAAATGAGTATAATAAGCTTACCTCAATAATCCCCTCGAAAATCTTCTCCAAAATCGCCTAAGTCCGAGTCTCAAATGGTGAAATAAGACTAAAATTGCGATTCCTTGCTTTTAAACCTTCTGCCCAGACTTTTCGCATCTGCGGACCCACTGTCGCATCTACGACGCCGCACCTGCGGAAATCCATCGCAGGTACGGATCACACTTAAAATCCCAGATTCCGCTCTTGCGGCGACAAGACCGCATCTGCGCCTATCGCAGGTGCAGAAACCCATCGCATCTGCGGCTAAAACTCGCACCTACGCCCAAATGCCCGCTTTTACGACCATCGCAGGTACGGGAAAATCTTCGCACCTGTGGCTTCTGCTCAACTCCTCCTTGGCCGCTTCTGCGGTCCCATCCCCGCTTATACGATCTCGCACCTGCGGTTCCCACTCCACAGGTGCGATTACACCAGCAACAGCAGCACTTCAGTTGCCCCTCTCAAATCCAAACCAAGTCCGAAACCTCCCGAATTCCACCCGAGGCCCCTAGGACCTCAACCAAATATGCCAACAAGTCATATAACCCAATACGAACTCAGTTGAACCTTCGAATCACTCAAAACAACATCAAAACACCGATTACACCTGGATTCAAGCCTAAAGAACTTCTAAACTTCCGAATTACGCAAACGACACCGAAACCTAACAAACCACGTCCGATTGACCTCAAATTTTGTACACAAGTCATATTCAACATTAAGGACCTATTCCAACTTCCAAAATCGAAATCCAACCCAGATATCAAAAAGTTACCCCCGATCAAACTTCTCAAAAATTCTACTTTCGCCATTTCAAGCCTAAATTAGCTACAGACCTCAAATTCATAGTCCGGATACGCTCCTAAGTTCAAAACCAGCCAACGGAGCTAACTGAATTGACGAAACTCCATTCCGGAGTTGTCTTCACACACTTTCGACTATGCTCAAAAATCCTGAGGCTTAAGCTTTCATTTTTAGGGATTAAGTGTCCCAAAACACTCCGAAACCAAAAATAAGACCTCCCGGCAAGTCATATAAGCAGAAACAGATACGGGGAAAACAGTAAATAGGGGATTAGGTCTAATACACTCAAAACGCCCGGTCGGGTCGTTACAAATAGTTAGTTGATGGAATCCATGTCTCGGTTTAGAGATTGATAATACACCTTTATGAAAGTTTATAAGTTTTCATGTGTAAACCCGGCCGGTGGATTTTGTATCCGACACATAAAATAAGTTAAGTGAAAATCTAAAGAAAATAATCAATAAATTAAATTATCAAAAATTTAATTTAATTAATTAGTATTTGAATCTTAACATGGGAAGTTAAATAATATTTAATGGCTGAATTTCAAAATTAAATAAGGAGTGAAATTACAAATTTTTAGTGGAATAATTTGTAATTAATTATGATGGATATTAATTTCAAAAATTACTAATTAATTCCATAATTGGAAGCCTTGTTAATTAAATTCGGTGGTCCCTGCTGTGCCTAAATAATAGGAAATAAAGGAATCATTTTTTCTAGTAGAAAGAAAAACCCAACAGGTTTTAGAAAAGGGTTTTGACCCTTAAAACTTGTGCTATAAATACATAAGGTTTTCCACCTAGATGAAGTAATAGATGGTGGATGAATTCCAGCCCCTTTTTCCTAGAAATTTTGCCCACACAAAATTGCTATTTTCGAATATTATTTGGGTAACACAGTCAAAGAACGTGGGACGTTCGGAGATCGTGATCGTGCGGGTGGTGGAGATTTTATTGAGTTGCTGTGGAATTGGAGGCTCACGTGATAGAGGAGCTTTGTTCAAGCTTCAAGAGGTAACCCGTGAAATCTCGTTTATGCTAGTTGTCTCGATTACATGTGATTTTGTACTGGGATTGCTTTCGCTGCTTATAATAATCCATCAGTGCGAACAACCCTACAGAAACTAATCCCAAAAATTCTTCGTATGCTACTGCAATCACCACCGCTACTCCTCTACCTCCTCCCAAAATTAGACACCCAAGAGAAGCTGTTATTGCTCGACATAAAACACATAATAGGATGCCAACAGTAATCTTCAAGGCCACAGATTATTATGGGGTCATGGTTGAAGAATGTAGACTCACTATTGTGGGTCGCTTCTTGAAACCTAGGCCCCAAATCGAGAAAATTAGGGCTATTTTCAGTAAACGATTTTCAGTTAAAGGCATGGCCAAATTTGGGGTGTATGACAACTATAATGTCTTCTTAGACTTTACTAATGAAGATGATTTCAATTCGATTTGGTACAGAAGAATGGTGGAAATTTATGGGCTTCAGATGTGGCTTAAAAAATGGACCCTAGACTTCCGACCTGACGAAGACATTCCCATTGTTCCTATATGGATTCTATTGCCTGGTCTTCCGTTTAATATGCATATTTGGCAATATGTTAAACAAATCTGTAGTGAGGTTGCAACTCCTCTTGCATTGGATGTTGCCACCAATGGTACAACTAGACCTAGTATGGCTAAAGTTCGAGTTGAAATTGATCTGCTTAAACCTTTAGTAGACAGTGTGTTTATTGGGTCGTAGGATGAAAATTCTCCACTCAAAGGCTTCACTTAAAACATTGAGTATGAGGGCATCCCTAAATACTGTAAGCAGTGTAAGAAACTTGGGCATAATCTTATGAATTGTAGAGTTATGGAAAAGAAAAGAGCTTCAGAGATAGAGAAAATAAACAATGAGGAAGGCTTGACACAATCAACTGAAGGCACTAGCAAAGATCAAACTGGGAAGAGTGAAGAAATAATAGATAAACCAGCTGATGATAACAACAAAGAAAAGGCTACTAAGGCTCAGAACAACAATAAAATAGACCTCAGTACCAATGAGGGAACTAAGGGCGACAGAATAACCCTAGAGATATAACACAAGAAGGAAGTTACACTCGACTATCATAATCAACAAAAAGGAGAAGGGAATTCAGCAACAATTGCAGAAAGAATTAGAAAGTAGAAACAGAAAAGCAAGAAGAAAAAGATGCCAAAGAAAAAAAGCAAGGTGACCTTCAAACCTGGTCAAAGTTACAAAAGGAACAAGCAAGATAGTACCTCCAGAAGCTCCTCAAATCACAACTATAAAATCATAGAGGGATTAAATGATACAAACTACAGGTTGGAAGCAAAATAAAATAATGACACTCAGAGTAATCAAGCTACCTCCATGATTAAGGAAAGACATCCTCACAAGCCTCCTAATGGTATCCAGATATCTGCAAATACTACAGGGGAGGATACAAATAGTTACAATGAGCTGACAGGAAATAAAAGTTAACATGAGATTTCTACGGATCAAATAGAAGAAGAAAAAGACATTGAAGTGAATTCAAATTCTTGCTCTATATGTCTTCCACCCAATATAACTGAGCAGCCGGGTATACAAATACTTGTTGAGATATTTGAAAATCAAGAAGACTATAAAGGCAACAATACAATGAAAGAAACTGATAACACTATGCTTGACCCACATCAAAGCATAGGCGTACTACAATAGAATGAAGGTAACAAGCAAAACAAAGAGAACCTGGATGAGAAAGATTACTTACTTGAAGGCAGAGGAAGAAGTAGATCCAAAAAGGTTCACACGAATCACAAAAACAGAAATACTTCCTATGTGAAGAGATTACAAAAGAAGGATACTACCTCCACCCCAGTTATCCATGATTAATACAATCTTTTGGAATATTAGGGGGGTAAGGTCTAAGAAGTCCATCCACAGGAAAAAATAATTGATCAAGATCAACAACATTATCTTTGTTGCAATCATAGAACCAATGGTCAGCAAAGACAAAATCGATAGCTATAGGAAGTTTCTGGATTATCAACAGTGTATTTCCAATGATAACGGGAAATTTGGTGCTTATGGAAAAATGTCAGTCAAACAACTGTCATTGAAAATCATGAACAACATATTTCTATCAAAGTTAATGATGGTGCAAGCAATCTCCCCATTGTCATCACAGTTATTTGTGCTAAATGTACTAATGGGGAAAGAAGAGAGTTGTGGAACAGCCTTGAACACATCACCCTCTATATTAATGGCCCATGGTGCATTGGAGGAGACTTAAATATCATTCTAGGCCCTGAGGAGAAATTGGGGGGAAACCCTCATAAGATGTACAGAAGCCTGGAATTCCAGAATTATATGGATAATTGTGGTACTACTGATATTGGCTATTGTGGTTCTAAATTTACTTGGTGCAACAATAGAAAACCAAGTAAAAGAATCTGGAAAAGGATTGATAGAGTTTTTGTCAATGATAAATGAACTAAGAAATTTCAAAATAGTATTGTTAAACATCTAGTTAGGTCGGGATCTGATCACAAGCCTCTTCTGATGAAATCCTCTAACACTTCTACCAGCCACATTAGTTACTTTAAATTCCTCAACTTCTGGACTAATCAGGAAGGTTTTCTCAATATTGTTAACGAGGTATGGGATACTGATATCAATGGCAATAGTATGTGGAGACTTCAATCGAAACTGAAATTACTCAGTAAAAGATTGAGTCAATGGTCCAGGAAAAAAATTGGTAACATTCATGCTCATGTCCTTGAATGGGAAGAAAAAAATTCAGAATCTAGAGGAAATTGATATTACCAACAATACTGAGGATGGCAGGGAGGAAACCAACAAAGCTCATGCTGAATATATCATATGGTTGAACACGCAGGACTCCTTTCTTAGCCAAAAAGCTAATATCCAGTGGTTTGACAAATGCGACAGAAACACTCAATTTTTTCATAGAAAGCTTCGAGAAAAAAGAATAAGATTACAATTGAATAGGATTAAAAATCACAAAGGAAATTGGGTTCAAGGTGACGAGCAAATAGCCAAGGCTGCTATTAGGTATTTCAACTCCAACTTCAATCTTCGGACTCCTACTCTGGACCTTTCTATAATGAACTGCATCTCTACTAAGATCACTCAAGAAGACAGGGACAACTTGGATATAGAGCCTTATGTGGATGAAATAAGACATGCAGTATTTAGTTTGTCTGCCACCAGTACTGCTAGACCTGATGGAGACAATAGAACTTTCTTCCATACCTGTTGGGATATTATCAGAGATGACATCAACGACTTTGTTTAGGACTTCTTCAAAGGTACTCCTCTTACTAAATATTACACTCATACTTGCTTAGTGCTTATTCCTAAAAATGACCCCTACATCATTTAGTGATTTTAGGCCTATTAGTCTTTCCAATTTCACTAACAAGATTATTTAAAAAAATCCTCTCTATTAGACTCAATCCTCTATTGCCTAGATTAATCAGTGCTAATCAGAGTGGTTTTGTTAAAGATAGGCTTATTTTTGAAAATGTCCTCTTAGCACAGGAAATTATTCAATACATTACTAAGAATAATAATGGTGGTAAAGTTGTTTTGAAACTTGATATGGCTAAAGCATATGACAGACTATCTTGGAATTTTGTTACTTCAGTTCTTAGGAAATTAGGTTTCTTGGAACTTTGGAACAGCATGATCATGAATCTATTGTCTGGCATTTGGTATTCTATTATTGTTAATGGTAATAGGAAAGGCTTTTTTTTAACCTCAATTCAAAGTTTGAAATAGGGAGATCCCCTATCTCCTACACTTTTTATCCTAGCTTCTGAGGTACTTACCTGCTCTCTTAATAATTTATACACTGATGCCTCTTTTACTCCTTTCACTATGCCTACTAGAGGTTCTCAGATCAATCACCTTGCCTATGATGATGGTATTATTATTTTCACTAGTGGCAACAATGATTCTATTAATCTTATCATGAAGATCATTAAAGATTATGAAAATAGCTCTGGACAGATGGTCAACACTCATAAAAGCTTCTTCTTTGCCACAAATACTTGTGCACATACCATCAATAGAATCAGAACTGCTACAGGTTATATGGACAAGAATTTTTTCTTTACATATCTAGGTTGCCCAATTTATGTAGGAAGGAAAAAAGTTGCATATTTTGATGATATGATCAATAAAATTGTTAAGAAGCTTAATGGCTGGCATGGTAAGATTTTATCTTATGGTGGTAGATTGATTTTAATTAAGCATGTCCTTCAATCTCTTCCTATTTATACCCTTTTCTGCCATATCCCCCCCAAGAGTACTTTTAACTTGATTGAAAAATATTTTGCTAACTTCTTTTGGGAATCCTCTGGAGATCAAATAAAATACCATTGAAGATCATGGAAAAACCTATGCTTCCCATGTGATGAAGGAGGCATAGGTGTTAGAAGAATGATTGATTTTGATAATATTTTAGCAACTAAAAGGTGTTGGAGACTCAGGACCATTCCATCTCCTTGGGCTAACTTCTTGACTCAAAAATAATGCCAAATATCCCATCTAGTGAGTAAGAAATATGCTCTAGGGGATTCACATGTATGGAAAATATTGAGAAAAATAAGAGACAAAGCAGAACCGCATATTCATTAGGTAGTAAATTCTGGCAACTCTAACATGTGGTGGGATAATTGGTCAGGGATGGGCCCTTTAGCACTTCTCTTCCCAAATGAAAGGAAGAATCCGAAAACTCGTGTGAAACAATACATTCACAATGGTGAATGGAACATTGAAAAGCTCAGAGATACAGTCCCAGATGATATTGTGGACCATATCAAAGGAATCAACATTGGAGACCAAACATCCCCTGATCAAGCTATATGGAATATCTCTGATAGTAGGGGTGGGCATCGGTCGGTTCGGTTTAGCATATCGGTTATCGGTTTACAAATATAATAAACCGACAACCAAATCGATAAGATATTAGTTATCGGTTATCAGTTAATCGGTTATCTATCATTATCGGTACGGTTATTGGTTTACCCGATAAGATAACTCAATCTAGAGTTAAGCAAAAAAGAGAAGAGTAAAACTGTTTTAAAACTCGTTTCTGGCCATAACTAAAAATGTTTTATAAAATAATTTTATATTGGCTCCGGACACAACTAATATTTGAAGCTTCTGCTTGGAGAAACTAATATTCAATTTGTTGAGAGTTGTAAAACAGTTTCACTTCAATACTGTCGTAATAAATGGAAACCCTACTATTGGTATTGAAACAATTTGACAACATTTCTAGTTTTCAGTTTGGTGCTGCTACAACTTTCCAGTTTCCAACACTACATTGAAGTAATATTCAATCAAACATAATGTTGATGCTACAACTTTCAATATATTCAACAAAGAATCTGCAACACTACATTGAGGTAATATTCAATCAAACATAATGTCGTTGCTACAACTTTCAACATATTCAACAAAGAATCTGCAACAACATAATCAAACACTACATTAAACAAAGAATCTGCATTAATATTTAACATAATGTTGCTGCTACAACTACTCAATCCTTATAGGCTTCACCAAATTGCGCTCCAAACAATGCTCAACATACCTAATTAAGGACTTAGTACCAGTTTGCCGTGCATTGTAACATAAATCAAGAAGACAATGACTACATCTTACTTTCCACCATCCATCATCACCTTCTTCAATCCTTTCATAGTGACTCCAAATATGTGAGATAGCTTTGAGACCATAAAGTCGAGGCATGGTTACACCTATTAAACATAAAAAGAAAAAATATTAAGTCAAGTAATATGTTTAAACATACTATGTGTTAAATAAGTTGAATAATTAACTTACCAAAGTTTTAACTCACAACTATCTAAGATTCTACACATCATCATCGCAAGGTTCGTTTTCAAGTTTGGCAAAATCTATGAGAATATATATTAACAAGTCAAACAATAAAAATATTAAATAGAAGCCTAAGTATATATTTTGCTCAATAAGAATGTCACGTATAGCATATATAGAAGTTTAATTTATGGAAGTTTTGTATACTCAGGGTATCTTTGTGATTATTTAGGCATAAGTTCTTTCTTTTCTGTCATTCACTTAATAAACGATTGAATCAACTGAAGATGAAGATGAAGATGAAGCAACTAAAAACTTACACGAAGAATGAAGATGAAGCTAAAGAATGCGGCTAAGAAATGTGAACTTTGAAGCAACTGAAGAGTGAAAAGTCTGAAGAATGCGGCTGAGGCTGAGAAAGAATAGGAAAGACCGAAAGAATGAAGCCCTAGCATATCTGCATATGTATATACTTAAGGGTAAAGTAGTAATTTTGTTAATCCTTATTGGGTTATCGGTTAACCCATTAACATAATTGCCAAACCGAGGCCCGAACCGATAACCCAATAGTGAAAACATTCTAAACCGTTACTGAACCGTTAACCCAATAACCCAATACCGATAACCCAATAAATAATTAACGATTCGGGTTATCGATTTTATCCAATAAATGCTCAGCCTTATCTGATAATGGTAGGTACTCCAATAAAACTACTCAGAACATGTTTAGATCTATTAAAACTAAGGATCAATTCCTTAGTAAGGTATGGCATTCTAGCATTCCTTTTAAAATTTCCTTTCTAACTTGGAGATTATGGCTGTCAAAACTTCCTTTTGATAAAGTACTACTTAACTTTGGTAGACAAATTGTTTCTACATATGTTTGTTGTACTAACCATGCCAATAAGTCTATACAACATGTGTTTATGGAAAGTGATGCAGCAAGGTTTATCTGGAAAGAAATAGGTGCTCCCCTGTGAATTAAGAATATACACATACCTATTCGTGGGTGGCTCAACCACTGGTGGCAACAAAGGTCCAAAAATGCTGTTCACAAACAAGCTTTGCAAATAATTCCAATCATCACCTGTTGGGAAATTTGGAAGAATAGATGCTCGTATAAATATGGAGATCAAAAGTTCAACTTGTACAACATGAAGCAATAGATCATTTGGAATGTTATGGCTGTTGTACAACGGTCCTTTCTAAAATGCAAGTTGACATTACCTTAGGTCAAGTACCGTGATGATATGGTCAGACTACAACCCATCCTTGAAACCATTATGGTAACATGGATGAAGCCACAATAGGGAACTTTCAAGTTAAACACAGATGGAAGCTTTATCCATTGAAATAGCAAAGCAGGGCTCGGAGGTGTTTTGAGGAATGAGCAAGGTGATTTGTGTATGGCCTTCTCTCTGTCAGCAAACTGCAAAAGCAACAATGAAGCAAAAGCTTTGGAGGCTTTGGCTGGGATTAAATGGTCTATTCATAATGGAATTTCAGACTTCGTGCTTGAAATGGACTCTATGCTCATAGTCAACATGATCAAAGAAAGACATACTGACAATTATAAAATGAAGAAAATGATAGATGATATCTTACAGTATATGAACCCAGCCAATATCACTCATGTGCATTGCTGTAGGGAAGCTAACCAAGTAGAGGATTACTTGGCAAAAATGGCTTCCAACATATCGGAGAGTAAGATGTACATGTTTTTCTACCTTTTGCCCAAGGAAATCAAGGGAACTTTCATTTTAGACAAATTTCAAGTACCTAGCATTAGAACAAAGTATGATAAGGAAACTTTCTTTGTGAGTTAAGCCTCCCATCTTGTAATTTTGGGCACAAGAGGATGTTTTACCCCTGACTATGTTTTTTTTTTTTGGTTAGGGTGGACTCTACAGTATTGTAATCTTGGAGGTAAGGCAATCTCCCTATAATGACCCAACCGGTCATTTTGACTTTTAGAACCCTGTTCCCCTAAATAAAATTCTCAGTATGTACTTTTATTAATTTATGACTTGCAGGGTTGGTTGGTTCGGGATTTAGAAGTGTTCGGGTTGAAATCGAAATACTCGGTTCCTTCATTTGGTTTTAAAAGCCCAAGTTTCACTTCGGTTAATATTTTGAGAAAATGACCCCGGAATCGAGATTTGACGATTCCAATAGGTTAGTATGATGATTTTGGACTTGGGCATATACTCGAATCAGGGTTTGGACAACCCGGGAGCGTTTTAGAGCTTAATAGTGAAAAATCAACTAATTGAAGGTTTAATGTTCTTTAAATTTGGTTTGGAGTAGGTTTTGGAGTAATTGAAGCCCGTTTGGAATTTCGAGTCTGAGAATAGCTCTGTATGATGATTTAAGACTTTTACGCAAAATTTGGTGTCATTCCGAGTAGTATAACTATATTTCGGCACGTTCGTGATAAGTTTGAAAATT